GTGCTGATTCTGTTGGGTTGTAAAAGAAAGGCCTAACTCTGAGTACACTCTATGCCAAAGTAGACAGGAAGTGCAGGCTTTTGCAGAGCGTGCTTGTGAAAGTTACTTTGAGGAGCTGTGGGGAGGATGCTATTTGAATAACCAGGTTATTCATTGTTATCTTTTAGTCATTTATATCCTTTTTATTAAGCTTTGAAGTAGGGGCATTCATTTGATTAAAACATTTATTCAATATATTACACATATAGTTTCAGTTGTGCACGTGCTGGCCTTCTGTCTGGTGGAAAAGGTTACAAGGTTCAGCTGGTGAGGTGAGAGGTGAAACTGAGTGCATTTCATGCTGACATACACACACACACACAGTAGATAGACTCATTTATAGGTGAGAGGTTAATCATGTTTGCTTGCAACTGCAAAATTGTCTCTGCAAAAAGAGGAACAGTTTGTTGCAGGATGTAGGTCTGGTGTTCCAGACGAGAAGTGAAAGTCAGAATGTTGACAGGAAGCATCTGCCGTGGAGATGCTTCCTGATCACAGTGTCACAGTGTTGTGATCAGTGTTGTTATTTTGAAAGTTGATTACCTCCTGTATCTCTCCTCAATATTGAACCCTTAACAGAAATTAGAAAACACTGCAATGCAATAAAATAAAATACTATATACAATAGAATGAAATAGAATACAAATGCTATATATAACTGAGTAAGAAAATACAAAAGTACAACTTTGTCAGAATATATATATTCTGACAATATATATATATAGGTTAGTTTGGTCACCAGTTGAATGTCTTCCTTTTTTGTTCATATTCTTTATTCTTTACTTGCACAAAAACTGGCTTAAATGCTCCTTTTCTTTTCTCGTGAGGTGTTGGAGGAAATCTCGTTTCCATACAATCTAGTCGTATTTCAACTCATCTGCATTTGAAATACTCACCGGGACAGTTGCCTGAGGGTCGACAGAGCTGTTCCAACCCTTGGCACACATTCTTTGGTTCAGGTAAAAATCAAATTTGAAACAATTTACATAATAAACACAGTTTGCCAACACAATCTGACGTTCACCTTCTGTTGGGCAGGAGCAAACCATCGATCTGCTAAGATTCTGCTTCTCCTGGTGATCCCTGGTCAGTTGATCTTCTTACATGCTGTTCACCTGATCAAAGGAGGCCACACTTTGCCAAGTCCTCTCTTCACCATCGCCTTCTTGTCTGCGTCTTTGATTCAGGTAAGTCAAATGTGCACTGACAGGCTATTTCTCTTTGCATAGAGCAACCTAGTCTGCTGTGATCTTATGTCTCATTCTTTGTTTTTTAGGTGTTAATTCTGCTCTGCATGGCTGACTGCTTGGTTCACTGTTTGTGGAGGAGGGGTAAAGACCCCGACAGTTACTCAATACCTTACCTCACAGCCCTTGGAGATCTTCTAGGGACTGCTCTACTTTCAATTGTTTTTCTCATGCTGTGGTGCATTGGTGATTCAGGCAGTGTGTAGATTCAAAATGAGAAAACAAAACCCTTATAGTGCTTATGATTTTAAAAGGCAAAATGCAAGTAATACTGAAGATTTGCAACACACAAATGTGCATTCACCTTTATGAACAAGTAACAGTTTTCTGCCTTATGGTGTTTATTTAAAACACAAGAAACACACCTACAGGACACATACAAATACTCTTAATTTTTGCACATTTCACATCTTTGTGTCTGTCTAATCCAGTGCAAACCATCGTGTACTTACAAAGTCAGGACGTCACGAAAACAGTCAAACCATGACAGCGAGAGTGCAATTTTTTTCATCTTGTGCTTCACTCTCTGTGTGTGTGTGTGTGTGTGTGTTGTCACAATATGGTTTCTAAATACCTGAAATTTGACTGAGATTTTTTCCCCCCTGTATTTTCTCTTAGTACAGAAATGAAAGTGCAATGAAACATTATGTGGAGCCCTATTCAGATGTATTGCATTTTAAATCTTTTTTATAATGTTGCAAATTTGTATTCAGTGTAGCTCTTCTACATTGTAACTTTGCTATGTCTGAAAAAGTACATTAAGTGGTAGAAACCAGCTACTGTGTCTCTTGTCTTTCCGTTTCAGATAGTTTTGAGATAACAGAAAGGCTGATGAATGAACACAGAAAAGGCAGAACAGTCCAGCTTAGTAACAACACAATAACGTACTATGTAGCAGCTGTAAACCTATCTGGGGGCTCTAGTAATGAAGCTACTGAATGTTAAACAAATTCTTCTTAATCTTTCTTTGTCTACCAGTAGAGTTCACAGCAGCCCCAAGAACTGTATGTGCAAAAGTTATGAAATTTGGGATGATATCTGGGAAAAGTCCCTCCACAGTTTTGCCTCTGAGTCTGGATTGCTCACCTAAAGATTGAAGTCAAATGTGTGATGTTCAAAAATGGGATGCTTTTAAATTTCTTGGACAAAGTCGGGTTCAAAACACACTGTGTTAAAAAAAGAAAGAAATTTAACATTTAACATGCCACAATTTCACTAT